GTCGTCCGCGTTCGTCGCCAAGTAACCTCCTCAGTATGACAATGTTCTACAAACCTCCATAGTAGTACCAACCCTCGTTTACTGAAAACACACGCGTGCACACCACCAGCCAGCCGGTTTGCAAAGCGCAACAACCAGCAAAGATGACCCGAAGGTCATGACGCAATAGCTATATACAAAGGGGATGCATGCATCGTTAAGCCACCAGGGATCAGTGATCATGGGCCTATACAGGGTAAGGAAATGGAGCAAGTCAAGCTATGTCGCCAATGAGGGGAAAGGTAGAAGCTGCGCCTCGAAAATGCTATGGAAACGGGTATTCGCTCGCAGAGTAATGCCATGCGCTCGGGGGCGAGAAGTGAACAACAGGTGCGATAGGAAATTATGTCGTGGGTATTAGTGAGGTCGTGCATTACGCCGTAAGGGATGCAATGTGTGGCCGTGTAGTCTGCATGAGCCGCAAGGCTCATCGACGATCAAGTTGGGCGAGTAGCTGGTCAAGCTCAACCCAGTTGTCCGTGGTGACTGCGAACTTGCGGTGCTTGCGGGAGACGACGTGCTGTATGTTGTCAGTATATCATCTGTAAAAGCATGTTTGTAGTGCGTACCTCGTCAAAGTCATTGAACTTCTCCCTGCAGTTCTCGCAGTAACCAGGCTTCAACTCCTTCTCAGCAGTCTTGCGCCTGCGGAGGGCTGCTGCTTTACGAGCTTGTCTTTCTTCGTCTCCATCATCGTGTGTGTGACCCATGTTCTCCTGGGCCTTGCGCTTTGCCGCGCGCATGGGTTGAGAATGCTCATAGCTGAGCGCAGCCCTAACATCGTTTGTAACGGACGAATGGCCACTATTCGTATTCGCCGACGGTACGCTGTTCTTCTCGAGGACCTTTCGTTTTAGCTGGTTGACTTCCTTGCTGTTTCCAGCACGAGGGGCAGCAGCAGTCGAGGAGATCATTTGCGAGCGGATAGCGGACGTGATGTTCGATTGGTGTAGACCAGACGCGACCGGCTCACCAGCGATGAAACGGGGCATGGCTCGGATGCTAGCCTGAGCACTGCCAAACATAGGTGGTGGGCCGTCTGCCGTGTTGCATCGCTTGGGAGGAAGGGCCTTTGGAGGATCTAACGGTTTCGCATCTCCATCCTGTTCTTCTTTGACGATGGCAGCAGGAGCGCTGGGTCGCCTTGCCAGGTTGTTGTTCTCTCCCAAAGCATTCTTCTCTTCCATAGCTGAAGCAGCACGCGTCCGTGGCGCCTGGGCAGCCTGCCTTCGGCGTGCTTCCTGCTCTTCCTGCTGTCGGCGACCGAAATGGGGATCCTCCACGAACGGGCACTTGCCGTTACCGGAGGCACGAAACTGCGGCCATTTGCCCTTCTCTTTCTCAACCTTCTGGTATTCTCGGATCATGACGGGTCGGGTAACCTCGTCCATATCGTGCACGTACACGTAGTATCCACGGAGCGGAATCATGTCCTGCGAGGCCATGACGTAGTCGCGGTCCAACTTCTCATTTTGTAGCAGCCTTTGCAAATCAGCAGGACGGCCCTTGTGCTGCGTAGCCACCGCCTGACGTGTCGAATGGGTAGACGCGTCCTCCCCAGTTTCCTTGTTGAACATGGTATCCACCATACGCTGCAACTTCTCGACGGACCATATCTTCATACCCAAGCTCTTAGCCTTGTACAGGATATCACCACGGTCGGACTTCTCGAGGGCGGCATCGAAGATGGACTTCTTGTTCTCCAGCTGGGCCGGGTTGACGGTGCCTTTGTGGGAGGATGAGCTGCCATCGAGGTCGGCGGGAATGGAACGCGTCGTAATGACATGGGTGACTTCCCGAGAGAAGAACTTGACTTCTCGCTGGTGACTGTTAGCACGACGGATGTAGAGAAGGGTATGCCAGACATACGGAACCTAGGACGCGTGCCCTGTTCAAAAGTTTGTCTTTCTGGGGTTCTGAGACGCTGTCAAAGTAGAAGGCAAACTGGGGAAACAGCTTGCGGTAGTGACGCTGCCATTGTCGAATTGTTTCTAGGTCGTGAGATGCACGCTGTGCGGCCTGCTTTGACGGGGCCTTGGTCTCTCTTGCTGCTTCCAGCTTGCGAGTCAAAGCCGTGGGCTGGGCCCCACTCCGACGAATAAGGCCGTGACGGCGAGCTTCAGCATCATCGACCTCGATGAGCTGTTTTTTGGGTGGTGGCTGGCCATAGGGGACATCGCGTTGCTCGCTGGCGTGGGAGCGTTGGCGCTTTCCTCCTATGGCAGTCGCGCGTAACGGGGAGTTGGTAGCGTTTTGCAGGTTGGCGAGGGGGACGCGCCGGTTCGACATGACTGAAGGAACCTGGGGCGACGGAGGGACAGCCACTGCTGCCATACGTAGGATAGCGGCTGAGGGTGCTTCGAGGTGTAATAGATGGGCGTGGTGGGAGGGGCACGTGTGCGTGTAGCTCACGACGCGACGGTACAGGCACGTCGAGGTTTTTCTAGCAACGCGTAGCAGCCATGTCGATGCGAGGGAGCTTCAGAGACCGAGGGAGATGTTGACGACACAGCAATTGAGCGAAGGTGAAGCGCGTTGCAGACGTCGATCTGCTTTCATCGACCAAGGAAAGAGTGTCTTTGTTTGGTCCGGAGGCTGGGTACAGTATGATGCAGGTCGGGCTAGAGCGACTGTGGTTAGCCTGAAAATCTCGCGCGAACCATCCACAACATCATTTGCCTAGACAACGACCTGGGCAAACAATACACCCTTGCCGACAACACCGTCAGTGCGCCCTGCACGACATCTCGCGTCTGCGAATCTCCCACCGTATAGCTGGCTCACGATTCAGCGTATCAGGGGAAGATTTGCAGCTTCTGCATGCGGCGCGCCTCTGCTGCTTGCACTGACGCCGACCCCACTTCTCCTGTCTCCTGTCCTGGGAGTAATTCGACGGCGAGCGCTGCACCATTAGGCCCGTCTCATTTCGCGTCCTTAGGCCAACACTGGCTGGTGGAAAGCTCCCGCGTCTTCCATTTCCATGGGACCGTGACAGCTTCAAACTTATCAAGGGTCTGGATGATGGAGGCTTTTGTGGGTAGCCGGAAGTGTCACCCACCTTGGCCGCGACTTTGTTCTATGGGCCGCAAAACACCGGAAGCGTCAGGAACAGTGCATACGGAAATAGACAAAACACACACATACAAAGACGTCATGTCGGTGATGTACGTTCTGGGTGCTGCCATGTACTTAACAGGTATTGGCAAGACGCAGGTTTTCAGCAGAGTATACCAAGTGATAACCTAGGTTCTGCATATACGGTTGCAGTCGCCCTGAACACCGTAGGTCCGCTGTTGCATACACGTTGCTATACGCTTCTTCTATGTCTTTCAATATGTTCTCACACTCTCCTTCGTTCTCGTCGCTACCATATTCTCGGTTTCCAGCGCCGGCTCGTCTGGGGCTTTGCTACCTCATCAGACAGAGTCTGCCATATCTTACCGAGGCCATTTCGTCTCTTGTCTCTTCCAGACCCGTATAGAAGATGTCGAAGATGTGATTTTAGAAATACAAACAAGTGTGGACATCACACTTGTACATCATGACTGCAATATCAGGTCGTCCATCTTTCCTCCACGTCTTGCTCAGTGAAAGGTGCACGCGTGCGGATGGCGTGACCTCATCATTCACTTTGACTTGGGCCAAACGCAAACAGAGAGCGCCTATAAATTCTCTGGATTGCGTGTTTCTCGCACCTGCACCCTCCTAACTCGACTAACTCGACTATATACCGGATCGTAATCATGACCGATTCCTATCGTCCACCGTACAATTCCAACCGACAATGGACACCAGCGTCTGCACCTTCTGAGGCTGCGCTCAACTACGACGACGCGGATGTGAACCGTATTCCAATCAATCCTCGCCGTTCCAACGCCACAGTTCCAGCTCCATCATCACGGCTATGGGATGAAGACCTGAACTCGCTCATGCATCGCACCATCCGCGCCTACGATCTCGTCGTGAACTACGACCGCGATTCCCACGGCGGTACCCGCTGGCCACGCGAGGACATCGCTCGCATTCGAGACTTCGGCGCCTATCTTCATGGCGACGTCCGCGATTTAAAGCACTGGAGTGAAGTGGTAGCAAAGGAGGGAGAACAAGATGCCTACACTATGGACAAGATCCGCGATGACGTCGAAAACTTGCGGAAGTACTGTGAGCAGATTCAAGCCATCATCAGGGATACCGAACGTGTTCCCCTGCGCCAACGTATGACACGAGACGATGGAGTGCAGGCTGGTCAGAATGTGGATAATGGTCATGGTTTTGATGGTGGTAAGAGCATCTTCCCTGGAGGTGGCACCCAAGGTACTGACTTCTCGCTGCCTCCAGACACCAACCAGCTCGTCGAGAGCACTCAAGAAGGCGAGGATATGGACGCCGAGATGAGTACCGACCTTGAGGAGAAGCCAGAAGTGGTCGATCCGACACTTAATCCACGGCAGGCAGTCTGGGCAACTACACCTTCAACGCGATTTGCTTGGTGAACGGTCGTACATATTTGTAGCCTTCTGAGACGTGCACTGTAGAACGATTACCAGACTAGGTCACGTAGCACGTTGGTGTCGTGTGACGAAGCAAAGATATCCAAATGTTCCTACACGTTTCCCACGTTCCAGCTGATTGGTGCTCGGTGCTCGGCTATCTCAGGACCCCTGCGCAACGGCCTGCACCTGTGGTGTGAGCGACTCAACGCTTTCACATGCTTGCAACTCACAACTCTCGAAAATAGCACGGATTCGGATTAATGCCGTCTGCGCCAAACGAGGATAGCCGCTATGCGGCGGCTGTCGCAGCTCTAGGCTTATCTCGCATATTTTATTCATCTTCGATCTCGACCCATCTCCATTCGGCTGCTTCCTATTCGTGTGCGCTCGCGGAAGAGTCTGGGTGAAGCCGCCGTTGGGATCTACGACCGCACAGCTGTGGATACGCCCGGGAGATAAGCCGAAAGTATGCTGAGGGTTGAACGCGCTGATATCTGCACGTCGACTTTTGACACGCCGTCTCAGATGGAAGGAGAGGACACCAGCTTCCGACCCAGTATGCTCTACAGCGTCCTACCTACCGTCGTATCGAACCATCTTCCGACGATACCTTCTCTCCGACAATCCCTTAACGACGTACGAAACCGCGGAACACATAGTAAATCAGCCTCAGTCGACGAACTACCACAGCCCGAGACTCCTCCGCCAGGCTATTCGTCGATACCCCCCAGTGGCTCTGTCACACCACATAGATTGTCAGTTGCGTTGGGCGAGGCAGACGTCGAGTTCGTGGAAGACGGACTGGACAGACCTGGCTCTTCAGGAAGCGCATTTCCACAGCCACATGGTGCTCACGAGGGCGCCTGTGGCATCAGATGGAAGTATGCTACTTTGGGTATGAATGTCGCTCGCGAATGTTAGTATTGCATGCTCATACCCTACAGGAACAAGCCTCATAGCTCAAGCATCCCGAGAATCAAGCGAATCGATCAGTAGCCCCGACGAGACATCCGCGACACTGACCCGACAACTCTACATACACGGCATAACGTACCTACTGCGAGGGCTGCCAGCGAAGCTCACCCCAGAAGAAACGTTGAGCATACAGGCGGCTCTTCCACAAGACGTAGTCGACAAAACAAACGACGCGAACACGCACGCGTTACTTCCAGTCTCGCAACGCAGCTCTAGCGCTCAAAGAGAGCCTCCACGAGACCCCACGATCTTGCACCGCCTGACCGCCTCCCTCGTCCTCCAGTCCTTCATCCTCATGCAGTTCCTTCTACCATACATCAAGCTATTCCTATCATACACCTACCAGTTCGAGAGGAAGCATCAGATCACAAAACGGCTCGTCAATACAGGCGTCGCGACTGTCGATGATATCGGACGGAAGACGCTGCGGCTATCGCAAACTGTGTGCCAGATGAATGATGGCATGGTAGGGCAGGCGATCAACGAGATGACCATTTGGTGGGTTCGAGGCGTCACCGGAGGCGTTCAACAGGGTCTCGCGGAAGGATTACAAGCTATGAGAATAGCGGAGAGCCAGCGGGGTGAGGAGAGTATGGGGCGGATCAACTGAGTATTTGGACTGCATTAGCTACGGCGTTAGGCATTTGCATAACTTGATAGACTGACGAATTAATGATGTGCATCGACTGTTCCGCTCGAGCTGCTGGACCCTGATCATGTTCTACACGTGATCTGCCGCTTATCGTTATCGGGCGGACTTCCTAGCGCGTTGTGGACGCACGTCCCTTGGAAAAGTGCAATGGCAAAGTTTCTAGCGGTAACATTCTAACGAGTATACGCCATTCTTTTCTCCCCAATCGCCGTCTTCCTTCAGGCGCACACGCAGAGTACTCTAGTTGCTCATTCTAATCGTTCAATATACCCTCTGTTACGAACGAGTGTGTACCATTACCCGCACATCATGTTCGGCGCAGTGAGAAGATGTCCCGCGACCCTCGCGAGGAATCTTGCCTCAATCTCCACCAGGACCCTCCGCACGCCCTTCCCTAATACCTCGAGCGCCCTAAGAATACCACTACAATCAGCGCGCCTTGGAAATGCCTCGTTCGCTGGCTTCCACAACAGCGCCGCAAAGTGGCAACAGGAGGCTCAGCAGAGCATTGAGGAAGATGGTCCCGTCACAGAGTTCCAGGACCTGGCCACACGCGGCCTTGTTCACCCCAACCTAATCAACACTATCACGAGGCAAATGAAGCTCACGACCATGACGGACGTGCAGTCCAGGACCATCAACGAGGCGCTGAGCGGGGTTGACATGTAAGATCTTCCTTCGATTGTAACTTCAATTCGCTAACATCCGGCAGCATCGCACAAGCAAAGACCGGTACCGGTAAAACACTCGGTTTCCTCATCCCTATCATCCAACGAATCATCGCGAACGACCCCCAGCTCGGCGAGAAGGTCAGAGGATACAAGCGCGCCAGACCAGACGACATCCGCGGCATTGTTATTTCGCCAACCCGTGAACTGGCAGAGCAGATCGCTGTCGAGGCGAAGAAAGTGGTCGCCGGCACGGGCATCATCGTGCAGGTTGCTGTCGGAGGTACACAGAAGAGGGCTATGCTTCAAAAGACTCAGCGCGAGGGGTGCCATCTCATGATTGCTACTCCCGGACGACTGATGGACATCCTCTCAGACCCTTACTCCGGTATCAAGGCACCAAAGCTCAGAGCATTGGTCATGGACGAGGCGGATCGCCTCATGGACGACGGTTTCCAGAAGGAGATTGAAGAGATCAAGAACTTCCTTCCCGACCCAGCCGAGGTCGAACGCCAGAACCTCATGTTCTCCGCTACTATTCCCCGCGATGTCGTCAACCTAGTTCGCCAGATCATGCGTCCCGGCTTCCACTTCGCCAAGTGCGTCGATGAGAACGAGGAGCCAACACACCAGCGTATCCCGCAAAGACTCGTCCATCTGAACGGTTTCGAGAACGTCATGCCCACACTTTACGATCTGATCCTCCAGTCACAACAGAAGGCACAGGCTGGTGAAACCCGACCCTTCAAGGCCATCGTCTACTTCAACAGCACCGCTGAGGTAACCCTCGCCGCATCAGTTTTCTACAAGCTCAACGGCGGCTTCAAGCGCAACACCCCTCTTTCTGGCACCAGATGCTACGAGATCCACGCCAAGCTCACTCAACAGCAACGTTCAAGGGCTGCAGATGACTTCCGTCTCGCAAAGTCCGGCATTCTCTTCTCCTCGGATGTAACAGCCCGTGGAATGGACTTCCCTGAAGTCACCCACGTTATCCAGATCGGTCTCCCCCGTGAGCGCGACTCCTACATACATCGTCTCGGTCGTACTGGACGTGCCGGCAAGGAGGGTGAGGGCTGGTTGCTCATCTCTCCCTTTGAGAAGCAAGAAGTCCGCCGTCGTCTTCGCGACCTGCCTCTTGTCGACGCCACTGATATGCTCGAGACTGCCACCGTTGATATGAGCGAACCGGCGGAGCTCCCTGAGAACGTCGCAAAGATTCTCTCTGACACTGTCGAGGCACACAAGAAGGTCTACCCCGACCAACTCGACGCCGCATTCCGTGGTCTGTTCGGAAGCTACCAGTGGTACGGTGACAAGCAGGGTCTGCTAGAAGGCGCGAACCGTCTGGCTGAGTTTGGATGGGGCATGCCATCCCCACCCCCACCACCTGCTAGCCTCTACTCTGGAGGCCGCGGACGTGGCGGCGGTGGCCGTGGAGGCTTTGGTGGAGGACGTGGCGGCGGCGGCGGTGGCTTTGGTGGCCGAAGCGGAGGCTTTGGCGGTGACCGCGGCGGCCGCAGTGGAGGTTTCGGAGGTGACCGTGAAGGCCGCAGCGGAGGCTTTGGTGGTGACCGAGGTGGTCGACCTGGAGGATTTGGTGGTGACCGTGAAGGTCGGAGCGGAGGCTTCGGTGGTGACAGGAGAGGAGGTAGCGGTTTCGGCGGTGACCGCAGAGGAGGTGGTGGCGGCGACAGGAGAGGAGGCGGAGGCTTCGGTGGTGGGGACAGGCGTGGAGGCGGTGGTGGCTTCGGTGGTGACCGACCAAGGAGAGAGGCCCGCGAGTTCTAAACAGCTACCCAGCTGTTGAAGGAACTCCTGCCCCGCGTCCTTGAGATGTAAGTCTGTCACACCTTCCGTCTCGCCTTTTTTCCTTCTCTTTCTTGTACTATATACCTGTATACCCCCCCACAGCAAGCTTGGAAACGAGGGATGATGACGGAGACATGTCATTGTATCGATATACACTGGTAGCATTGGGCGGCGTTTACAGGATCATGTCCCGCTCCAAAAAGCAGCAGCGCATGTTGTTATCGCCGCAGCGATCTCTTTTTGGGTTCTGGTTGGTAACGAAACGTATAAACAATCTCCATTCATACTTCTGGAGTTGGTTATTGATTGATGTAAAGCTAGTTGTAGTTAGTTGGTTTAGGTTGAAGGAAAAGTTTTAGTTATCTTCTGAGAAGAGAGTGTTTTGGGTTGGTGTATGTGTGTATGTTCCAAAGGCATGCTGGGTGGTTGATGCAGACAGCTTTAACTACTACGTTGAATCTCGGAAGGTCTATGCTCTTAGATTGTCGAATGCAAAGCTACATGTGTAACACCTTCCTCTGTAAACTATCTGGATATCCTCTCAGTCTCCGTTGTAGTCACAATACTAACACGCGTCAGTAATGCAAGATGCCCTCTAGTGCAAAGTCGGCCCGGAAACCTAGACACACATACCACGACAGACCCCGAGAACCCAAGCTATGAGCTAACTAAATTCCGTTTTTCTTTCCCCCACAAATTTTCCATTCATTGGTCAGACAACACCGTCCCCCAAGTCTCTAACCATAATATTATACATTTAACAATCCTAAGAATACCGAACCATTGCACCGCGCATGTCCACACATAATGCAAGCACAATGTGCGAACAGGCATGTACATAGCGTGTGCCCGCATAGGTGTGATAACCACTACGATTACCCCACCTGTGCGGCCACACGCTTTATGCAGACCTTTCGCGCATGGTGTTTGTGATTGAATTCTGTTATATGTGTTGCTATCGTTTTTTTGTTTCTATTGGCTGTTTGGTAGTAGTGAGGAAGTGGTATGGAGCGGAAGGAAAGCCTAGGTTCGGTTCGAGATGGGGGATGGTGGGTCTTTTTGGGATGGGACGGGATGGTATCAGGAGGTAGGAGTTTTTTTTCTTGCAGGGTGTATACGATGGGATGTAGAGGCGAGTGTTTCACTCATTGGGTGTGGAGGTAGACAGCTCGCTGGTTTGTGATGGAGTGTTCAACGTTTGCGTCTTTCCGTGTACTTGTCAATATGGTCATGCTCGTGAGTAAGTAAGAGGATCACGATGTAGGCGGATTTGGATGTTAGACACAATGTATACATCCTCTACAGTGTGCAGAACAACGCTTCGTCTCTTACATAACTCCAACGAAGGAATAATGACTGCCAACAAGACCAGGAATCGTACTATCAACACTCCATCACATCAAATCTGACTTCTCCTTCTCCTCATCAACCACCGTTCTGAACTCCTCAAATGCCTTCTTATCCATAGGATATGTATGTTCCGTCGCAGGATACTCCCTACTCTTGACCTCATCCCTGTACTGTGATATCGCCCGATGCGCCTCCTCCCACACATTCCCATACTGCTTGACAAACTTGGGCAGGAACCGCCCAGGTGGGAAGTTACCCAACATATCAACCTGCACTAGGACCTGACCCGAACAGCCATTACCCGCTCCGATACCAATTGTCGGTATACGCAGTTCTCTGGTAACCACAGCAGCGACTTCAGCGGGCACGGCTTCGAGGACTACGGCAAAAGCACCGGCTTCCTGAACAGCGAGCGCGTCCTCAAGGAGTTTCAAGGCGGAGTATGTTGATTTGCCTTGTACGCGGAAACCTCCTAGAGCGTTTTGGCGCTGAGGTGTGAGGCCGATGTGCGCGAGCACGGGGATGCCAGCAGACGTTATCTTGGCTATTGTAGGAGCCATCTCCTTGCCGCCTTCCAGTTTGACAGATTTGACGCGGCCGATCTTGATCATGCGGATGGCGGATTCGAGGGCTTGGGCGGGGGAGATCTCGTAGGTTCCCATGGGGAGGTCGCCGACCTGGGGGTTGTTAGTGGGACTGACGAGTGTTGTATGAGGGACTGGGAACGTACTGTGAAAGCGCCTTTTGTCGCGCGCGCAACGGATTTGCAGTGGAGTAGCATCTCTTCCATCAGCACTTCGCTCGTGTCTTCCATGCCTAGTGCTACCATGGCTAGACTGTCTCCGACGAGTATCATGTCCATGCCGGCGTGGTCGGCGACGTGTGCGCTGGGGAAGTCGTGCGCGGTTATCATGGTGATGGGCTCGTTCTTGCGGTATAGACTCTGCAGCGTATTCAGAGTGACGGGTTTACGCGCATTTGCTGGCGCAGAGCCCAGTGGAGAATGTGAACTCCATCGGATTTGTGCGGAAGGCAGTATAGTTCGCGATATCGATGACAGCGGCGAGTATGCACGTGGTGTTGTTTGAATATGTCGCGAAGACGTTCGCAGTACGTTCATGAGGGCACGCGACATGGCGGCAGAGTCGCAAGTGTGGTGGTGGTGGGTATTTTGGGCGGTAGAAAATTTGTCAGAGCCCCTGAGGACGGTGTGGAGGTTTGTTCGTAAGCCATGGTCCTAGGGCGGGATGGGTGTTGCTTTTAAGCAACATGTGCAGAGAGCTGCGCTGAAGATTGTATACCTAACCTTGGAGTTTTGGAAGAACCGAGGGTCAGCCTGCGCCCAGACGCCAGGGGTCTGGATGTGCCCTGATTGTCTTCGGCGCGTCGATTACTTGGTACACCCCGCCTTTTGATTATGACTACGTATATTGTAGCGTGACCTTTCAATCCGTCTTTGTATTTTTCAACTTCCAGCGTTGTGCTTCGAGTTGCAGAGGGCGTCGTTCGGACCAGCGGTGAAGGCCTCAGGCGAGGATCTCGGGGAAGCTGCGGCATTGCTCCTCAGTGATTGGATGTCGGTCCCAGCACCCTCAGTCTCGGTATGCGTTGAACTTATACTATCTTCAGCTGTGCGGTCGGCATAAGCTTCGAACAAATCTTGGTTGATTCTGACGGAATTGAAGATTTCTTCGTTCTATCTACACTGAAGTGTCAAGTCAGATCAGGGAATCGGTAGCCGTCGGGAACCAGCCAGTCTGCGTTTGTTAAGAAACGTCCCACTTCATGCACGGCGAGTATATCTCAGTCTTTCTGCTGTTCTTGTGCATCACCGTAGATCATTTCAGGGCGTTTTGTTATACTTGGAAGATTCATGTGCTGGGTTTGGATGGCTACGCGTGGCACACGGTGACGTAGCCTTCGGAGTATCCTCTCTGCAGAGCTTGCGAATCGACACCTGGGCATGTAAGCACCTGTGTAGAGTCAGTGATCGTAGAAATAGGTATTCATGATGACTGGAGAGCGTTGCTGTCATGAATGCATTAGGCAGAGATACGCGGTCGCGCCGTGGTCTCGGCGATGACTTGCCCGGCGAGACGTGCGCAAGCGTGACATGCCGGTATCGAGCTCGTGATCGCGACTACCGCGACCATCACTCCCGCCTCACTGTTCCTGCCCTTTGACACGTCCGACCCCAAAGACGCGACAACAGCACACATTCACCGATCGACATCCTTACCAGGGTTCAAACAACCACAATCTGCCAACAAAGCACACACCACTTGCCAACGAACGCGCCCCTCATCCGCTATCGATAGCCCCGCCGCCTACCTCACGAGAGCTCTCACTGCGAGCTGCGCACTGCCGTATACAACTTGAAGACGAGCGGAAGACTAGGGAAGAGCAAAGTCCTTTACAGGTCGCGATATCGGGAACGCCAAAATGAGTTCGCCAAAGAGACGTATTGAGACGGATGTATGTGGAGACCTTCACCCCGGTGGTTGCTGAGCAAGGGACAAGAGCTAACCGAGGCCTCTTTCCAACTATACAGGTCATGAAGTATGTTGCGCATGGTTCCGGTTGTAAGACAGAATGCTAACACGCCATCAGGATGTATGTCGACCAATTTACCGCCTTCTTCGCGCCACGCGCCTGGCAACCATGGTGAATCCTGATAGCTGATACAAGGCAGGCTCATGAGCGACTACGAGGTGACTCTGGTCAACGATAATAGTGAGTAACATGACACCCATTCCTGTCGGATACACAGCTAACACTCCGTAGTGTCAGTCCTTCCTACCATCCGAATCCGCATTCGCCGAAACGACGCTGACACACCACAGGCAGGAGTTCTACGTTAGGTTTAAGGGCCCAGTAGAAAGTAAGTTGCGCACGCGCCATGCGCATCATCATGCGCTAATGAAGGACAGCACCATTCGAGGGTGGACTTTGGAAGATCCATGTCGAGTTGCCCGATCAGTATCCGTATAAGAGCCCTAGCATTGGCTTCGTGAACAGGATATTCCACCCCAATATCGACGAACTGTACGTGCTATCCCTTTGTTTGAGTATTTCAGAGAACACCTGCTTACTCAATAGCTCTGGCTCCGTCTGCCTCGACGTTATCAACCAGACATGGTCACCAATGTACGACATGATCAACATCTTCGAGGTCTTCCTTCCTCAGCTCCTGCGATACCCAAACCCGACCGATCCTCTGAACGGCGAGGCCGCAGCCCTCCTTATGCGCGAACCTAAGAGCTACGAAGCTAAGGTGAAGGGTATGTATACAAGGGTGAGTCGTGTGAGCCAGGCTAATGTACATCTAGAATACGTCCAGAAGTACGCCAACAAGGACACTGCCGAAGACTCCGACAAAGACGATGGCGATGACGACGAGATGAGCTCTGTCGGCAGCTATGAGTCTGGCGATGAAGATGAAGCGGCGGGCAATATGGAAGACATCTGAGGCAACCCTTCCTCGGGTGCTATCAGTCTCCTTTGTATTGTCCACGACCTTTCTTCTTCACTCTACTTCCATGGCTGGACGTTCACGGCGCTGATCTGGCGCATATAAAGGCTACATTGCTGCATATTCCCCTGGCATGTGGCTGCTTTACGGTTTGGTTCTGGGATTGGATCTCTCTGTTGGCGTTTGTGTCTTGCTTTTGAATTCCATAGTAGGCTTGTGACTAGGATCATTTCCTTCTTCACTCTTGTGTAGGATTGGTCGGATGACCTTCTCGATCTTATAAGTTAAGGCCGATGTTAGAGGTACTGTATGCTATTACCTGACATTTCCTCTCACTACTCGCTTTGCTCAACTCTCATATCAGTCCTTCTCTCATATCTTTTCGTCTTCTTGCAACTCTATGAACTCACTCTCTCTACTTGTTCGTTGCTGTTTCCGTCAATTCGTACAGCACATGCAATAAGTATCGCACTCAATAGCCGTACCTGGCACATGAACAGATGCCTTCATGTGGGACAGGTTCCTGTTCATTGCCGCGAGCTACTATCGCTCTTCATTGGCCATTACCCTCCCTTTCTACCGTATCTCAGGATATATACATGCTATTTGGCCGCCCACCGGCTCCTCACCGCTCCACGCAACCAGTCAACCGACGCTCCTCACAGTGAAGGCGAATCACGTCCACATCGAGCCCTACCGCTTTCTTCCCCGCTCCTCGTCTTCTTCACCTCGAAACACATTTCGCCATGCGGGGGCGCAAAGTTCTCGTCGCCCGGCCCGAGCGCGTCCGCGTCCGTTTGTATATAAACACCCAATCGAGCCATCACAACAACACCTCGACGCGAACGACAATTTTCCACAGCGCACAACACTTCTACTGGCAACAGCAGCTATATACCAGGTCAGAGTACGGAGTTCCCCTTGCATACCCGGGATCTTCGTGGTTTGGAAGCTAAATTGATAGAGCGATAGGCAAGGTCAAGATGGTGTCTCACAACGAGGCAGCCAGTCGCCACGACAAGCGTGCTAGGGAACGTCCGGCACTCAACACCAACACCGGAGTAGGTGTCACCAGCATTGGAGCTCCAATTAACTCAAGGCGCTCGACTGGGTACCTGGGTCGGAATGGCCGTCATGCTGACAGCAGCCGACGCAATTCGGCTCCGGGCACTGGTCTCCCTACTGTACCTCGCCCGCAAAATGATCGTGGTCTCAACTATCATGGTAACCCAAACGCATCCTGTGGTCTACTGCTACTAGCTGCTAACACCAGTACCGGTGCCGTCCGCAACGAGGCCAGCCCTGAGCCTGACGACAACGCATTCACTACACCTACCAACTGTCGCATGGTCAAGTCCAGCCCCACTGGTCCGTCTCCCTCGTTCAGTGGCTCGCGCCTGACGCGCCTTCTCCCCGACTCACAGCGCACGCCTTCTCCAATGAAGCCCCTTGGCCACGAGCCTCCCGCTGCCATGACAATGTCTGCAAGCCCGATTCGCATGTTCAATCGCCCTAAGGGCAAGGGCAAATCGGTCGAAGAGCAGTACATTCTGCCCAGTCTTAACGGCTCCAACATCACGGTCCCCAAGCGAGACAGTTCCAGGAAGCGCTCGAACAAGTGGGCCGTCGACAGCGCTGACGACGATGCCGCCAAGCGCAAGCTCTCAAACCCAAACGCGATCGCTGTCGTCACTGGTCGAAAGATCTACAAACCTCGCCAGAAGCCTGTCTCAGAGCGCCCCATCCTCAGGATGCGCGGCGACAGGGAGCAGAGGTACCTGTGAAGAGCTAATCCAAGGGGAAAGGATGACGGGAGTCTCAACTGGACAAGAGCTGTGTGCTGGATCGCTGTTCGCTGGTTTCCGAGATGCGAACGCGAACCATTCACAGTAAGTATTTCTTCCTTGCATGTCTTTCTTCAGCGTTCTGCCAGTCAATTTTCTACGCATGCGCTTTTCTTCGCTTTTTGCAGTTCGAGTCTGGGAGGTGAGCGGGGGTCGGTTGTATGTGCTGGTTATGGTGATGGTGGGATATGGATCAGTTCTGTTGCTTGTGAGTTGCGCTTCTCTTCGGTCAAACGGACGAGATATGAGGATGTTGATGACGGATTATGGGTCTGGATCTGGGTTTCGTGCTGGGATCCCTTACGACTTTTATGACGGCGTTACGGATGGAGGACTGAGATGGATGATACCCTTTTCCTTTTACTGGAGGAGCACTGGTGGATTTCCTAGGTTCGGATATGAGAGGTTCGGTCATACGTAGGCTACTTCTTGTAGCGATCTACTTGAGCCGAGGGCTCTGAGTAGTATCAATCGAGACATGAATCTCAAAGTTCTTCATTGATTTGATGACTGTGAGAATGAGTGACTGTTGCAAAGCTGATACAGTCAATCCGCACAGCAAGCAACGACTTCAATGAGCCGCTAGGTCTAGGCTGCGGACCGAGTTTAGTGCGCATACTCTTCTCTATGGAGAGCGCCTTCCCTACACTAGCTGCCAAGCCACTAATCCTCGCTTTAACATAGCAACTTCCGCTTTCTTGTTTCCTATCTCCTTCACTCATCTCGAAAAGCGATACCCAGTATTCCCGAAGCGATGCAAGGCCCACAGCAAGGCTCACAGCGTCGCTCCCATCACCACGGCCGTGCCATGCATTCAATTCACGATCCGGCGGATGAACCACGCCCAACACCTCCATGCCGTACCCCCACACATCCTTCGATAGACAATAACGCCTATCAGACGCAACAATCTCTCTTATACCCGGTGTGGTGAGTCTGCCTCAAGTGCTCAGGCAGAGAGGCGAGGTCGTTACCCCGCCTGCCCTGCATGCGAAGGCCAAAGTGGTGAGTGCCATTAGCCGCTGGTTGGTAGAGTCGTGCATGCTCAATAAAGCCATCAGTTCACCGGTCAATATGCACGTGCTGAATGGTTCTGTCGAGTTCTCTCTGTTTCTGCACTTTCTGGTCGGCTCATATACCTACATAGTTCTGCGCCTTGATGTGACACAGTAATACTTACACAAGTGTGAAGATCAGTTATTTCTCATAATGTCCGGTCTGGAAGCTGCCGGTATCGCCATCGGCGTAATCGGACTGTCGACAGTTCTTGCTACGACGGTAAGAAAGATACGAACAACCGTTCAAGACATACATTTCGCCCAGGGCGATATTCTTGAAGTCGAAAAAGAAGTTCTTCTCTTTGCCAGGATATACAATGACTTCCTGGACGCATGCGACGAAGCATCATCAATGACGAAAAACGCTTCGAAGATTAAGACGAGCCTGATATCCTGGACTCAGAAGACGATAAAAGGATTCAAGAATCTACTCCACAAGGTGCAGGCAGTCGCCAGGGATCCTGCGTACTATCACTCGATCAGGAAAGTTGCCTCTGCATATTACCATTGGATTAGAAGCAAGGGTACAGTTAGATACCTACGCGCTTCTCTCAGTGTTGCGAGGCAGAGCATGGTAGCTTTCACGAACATCCGCGTCATCGAAAAGCTTAACGAGGAACTCGCCCATCTCAGATCACCGTTATCCTCAACCGAGAGGACAACTATTGAACTGCGGCTCGGGATGCCAGTGGAAGAGCGTGTCAAGATCATACGAGAGAAATGGTATGGTGAATGATATCACTAAACAAAACTCTACTGACTCGCTTTAGTCGCAACCGCCACGCGCAGCGACGTATTATCAATAAGGATTTAAACAAAGCAGTCAAAGAACTTGCAGTTCACCAAGAAAACATCAAAGATCCAGTAATTGTCCCAGGAACCGAACCTCTCCTACAATTCCAAGGAGCAGTAAAAGGATACGCCGACAATGTCTATTATCGAGAAAGGTCTGACCGAAGGGCTTATCGTTCGCAGCGCGGCAGCTCGTTACCCTCATCTGATTCTACTGCTACTACGCCGACACGATCTACGCAGTCTTCAAACAACCAAACATTAGCACCGGAATCGACTCCCACGTCGCCTGAACCTACCCCAGAAGACCCACGTATACGATTTTACGAGGAAGCAATCGACAGTCTTGTTTTGAAATGTGCGGACACCCTCAAAGAGACCAGGGCCTACCTCAACTCTATACAACATACGCCCTCGGACGCAGCGTCCCACACGAGTCTGGTCGATCCGCCTGTCGCACCTCCACCTCCTCCGAAACCTGAAAGAATGATAAGAAGAGGACGGGCGTCTTCTTGTCCACAGCCAAATCGAACACGGCTAAGCAGTCAAAGTCCAATGCCATATAGACGCTCTCCAGCCGAACAAGATGTCAATACTGCGGAGGATGCCAACACAAGAACCTTCATCGATCCGGTCATACCTGAGGAGGCTGAAGACGCCTCACAGGATGTAACTTCCGAAGAGGAAGACCCGACAGAAGAGCAAACTAGAAACGCGGGACCGAGTATATGGCAAGCTACTGGTGCGTTTGAGGGTAATATGCCAAGGGGTCTGTCTAGACGACGGCGGAGGAGTCGGTCACCTCAAGACTTTTGGTAGGAGATTGTAGACATCATGGGCGTTCGCTCAAATGCGAGCGCGTCGGTCTGGAGAAGTGATTGAGTCAAGGGGGATTGAAAGACGGAGTCATGAATGTACAACACAGGAATGTTTTCAGTCAAGATGTATGAGATGATGTATCCAATTCTTCATTTGCAGACTGATCCAGAAGATCCGTTGACCCTATGACCCATTGTGAAAGTTTTCAATCTCCCAGCAAATGTACCAACATCCGTACCTCCGTTCTTTCAGCGAGACCAACTCGAACCCAAAGAGAGGGTGAGTCGAGGTCTCAAGCCGAAAGAACTGAGACATGGATACTGAGCTAAATACTGGACGAATGGCAGTCTACAAGAAGAGCCGCAATGCCAACGAGAGAAGGAGAGGAGTAACCAACAAGGTAAGGAAAGGAAAGAATCCGACCGCCATCCGCATACTGAAAACAGGGAAGAAAGAAACGCCCATACCCAATGCCCTTAACAATGCAAGCCCCAGACCCAATCTGCCCATATCCAAAAGAAAACACCCTAATGCACCACCCACCCTACTTTTCATCAAACAGAATACTCAAAACACCCTCCTCCTCACACAAACTCAATGCACACTAGCCCTCCACCCCTCCAGCGCATTAAAACTAACATCCCCCTCCATACTCTCCTCCCCAAACCCTTCCCAAGGAAGTTCATGCGTCTCATCACCACTCTCCTCCTCAGCACGACCCTGTTGCGCGGTACTACGCCTCAACTCCACACTCTCATCCTCATCCTCATCAATAAAACTGCGAATAGTAACTTTCTTCGCCTTCTTCTTTCCACCAGACGTTACCGATTTCTCCGTGTTTCCATCCTGTTGTTCTTGTTCCTGTTCAGACTGCTGGACAAGGACTTCTTGTGTAAGGTCGTCGAATTCCGCTTCGGTGAGCTCATCAGCTTTTTGGCCTTCGAGTACGTCGTGGAGACGGTAGATCTGCATGTCTAGCCATTCGAGACGGCGGTGAAGGTCTTGGATTGAGGCGTTGAGGGCGTCGCGGCGGCGCTTGCCCAGGCTGGGGTCGTGTTGTTCGAGGAGGGCGCCTTGGACGGCGAGCTCGGCCCAGAGGTGGACGCGCTCGTCTTTTAGGCCTTTGACGACGAGGGCGAGGGCTTCGCGGGGGGATTGTGCGGGACGGAGGGTTGCGTCGGGTTCGTCGGCTGTGCGGGAAGAAGCTGAGACGAGTTTGGGGACGCGGAGGGGGCCGGTGGCGGTGGTGTAGCCTTCGCGGCGGCAGACGGTGCAGTTGTCGTTGTCGTGGTCTTTGGTGATGGGTTTGCGGGATGTGGCGGTTTGGTTGGTGGAGCTGAGCTTGATGTCGGGGAGGATGAAGGCGGATGTCATTTCGGTGGGAGCGCTGCGGCGTCTGCGGCTGGTGTTGCTGAGCATGGACGCGTCGATGGCTGACTGCTTTGTTTGGGTGGCTTCAGCGTCGGCATCCATGTTCGACAAGTTGCCAGTGTCTTCTTCGAAGTGGGTGTTGGTGGTGCGCTGAGTGGTGTCCTTGAGTGACGATTTGCGCACAAGAGAGGGTCGTCGTTCGCTCTTAGCAGAAGCGACTGACCTGACGGTGTCTTCGCGAGTCTGGCGCTGCGATCGAACAGTGTCCTCGTGGACTGGCTCTTCAGTCCTGGTCGATGAAGCACCATGACGCTCAGCAGCCCGCTGTTCTTCCAGAGATCGTCGAAGCCTAGCAATCTCTTCTTGGGGGAAGAAGCTCAACTCTGTCAGACTCAGGTCAGCAGGAGGCTGAACGGTCGTGGTCTGCCTCGTCAAAGTGGGGTTTCGTGAGATGCGAAGAGTTGCGCGAGGCGCAAGAGACAGATCGGTCGTCGACTCCACATCACTCTCGGCGCGGGCGTGCTTGTCAGCGGGAACAGGTGCTGAGACACTGCGGGTTGAGAATCGCGAATGTCCGGTGAACGACTTTCGCGGGCTCTCTTGGTTTGGTACTCCAGCGACCTTGCTGTTGCGGACTTCCTGCTGAACACGGTTCCTGATGCGCGTGCGTGTATCTTCGCGGCGGTAGCTAGGCTTGCGTTGCAGAGTGTCCTCGAAGATGTGCTCCGTATCCCTAGTTCTCGAAACAGGACCGGTGGTATCGTCGAAGTGCTGCTCGATGTCCCTAGCCTTTCGAGCACTCTCACGCTGACGGATCTTTCGCTGCAACTCCGCCTCTTTCCTGGCCCACTCCTCATTCTCCTCATCTTGCTGAGCCTGCAGTTCGCGAAGCTCGTTTCGGAGGTTCTCATTGTCCAGACGCATGGCTTCATTGGTACGCTCTTGTGTCATATCCTCGAAGTGTCGGATGGTGTCGTCGCGTCGGCCAACCTGAGCTCGCAACGAAGCTTCCTGACGAGACCAGCGCTGAGCCTCCTCTTCGCGCTTCGCCTTGAATTCTGCCAATTGAGCCTTGAGCGACTCGTGGTCGGATTTCAAACGGGCATACTCAGCATGCTCTTGACGCGCCTTTCGCAGTTCCATATCTCTACGAGTCAACTGCTGGGTGTTCTCGTCCTGTTGAGCGCGTACGCGAGCCAACTCGGCATGTAGGTTGGCGTTCTCCCTCTGGGTCGCATTCGCGGCTTGGTCGAACTGCTGACGAAGCTGAGTTGTCTCCTCGCGGTGGTGTGACTGGTCTTGTTCGAGTTGTTCGCGAAGGTTGTCAATCTCCTGGCGGAGCTGCTCGTTCTCGTGGCTCAAAGCGTTCTTCTCGGTCTTAAGCTCTTCGCAGGTCTGGAATGCGACACCAAGCTGGTTAGCCATGTTGTCGCGCTCGGTGCTTAGGCGTTTCTTCTCGATTTCGAGTACGGCGAATTTGCGGTCGGCGCGATCAAGCTTGGTTCGGAGGGTTTGTACTGTCGCGTCAAGACCTGGTCATTGTCAGTACAGTCATACTCTTCTAAATTTTACAGAAACTTACGCGTCTTCTCGACCTTCCAGCCGCTCTTTCCGCCAGCATCAGAGTCCTGCGCGCTGTCGCTCCGTCGCAACTTCTCTTGAGCTTGTGTGGTCGCTCTCAGTTCAATCAGCTCCAGTTCCTGCTCATCCATCTTCTTGTCCTTCTCCTCACGCTCACGCTCCATGTCTGCAATCTTCTCCTGTAGCTGCTGGAGGGCAGCGAAGATGGCCTTCTCTTCGTCAGGTATCGGCGCACCATCGATTGGGATATGCGATGGGCGGCGACCGCCGTATGGAGGAGCAGCGAAGCGTGATCTTGAGGGTGCGGTCTTGGAAAAGACTGGTGTGCCATCGTCGAAGACGCCAGAGACAAGCTCGGTAAGGTTGGGGATGTCGGGCAAAATAAATGACTGCGCAGTCGCGTTCTGTGCTGTGGTCGGCCTGGAGCGAGATGTAGCTTTTGATTGCGGCAAGTCGACATTGCCGTCAGTTTGGAGAGAGGTCTGTCGGCTCCTGTTGCCCCAGCGCGTGTTCTTGGCCGAGTCCATGGTCAGTGTTGGTGGTCGGTGCTCCATAAACGATGACTCGTCTTCCGATAGCTTCGCGTGCAGCTGTGCAAGTGAAGTGCGCTTGCGGTCTTCCTTGGTAGAGACAGCGGGGGAGTTGCGCTTGCTTGCAGGACGCGGCGATGCAGTATCGAGGTCGTTGCGTGAGGCGCGTCGGATCGCCGCGTCGCGTCGAAGGCTACCAGTCTCTGCCTGGTATGACTTGCGCGACCGGTTGGTGGGGGGTGTGATGTCGTAAAGGCTGTTAAACTGAGAGCTCATCTTGCTGGGAGTACCGCGGTTGCTGCGGTTACCTCGCGCCTGCTCGACGGCCATGCTTTCCTCGTCGGATATGCTGTGGTCAAAGTCGCCGAACTCCTTGTTTACCATGGACGTGTCCGGCTGGACCTGCTGGGAGCGGAACGGAGCCCAAGTGTTCATCTTCTTGGCTGTTGACCGAATGTGCGGGTATGCTGGGAGTGTGTTGGTGTCTTCGCCAATGTTGTGTTGTGTGGACATGAGAATGTCCGGATCGTCAAAGAACTGAGACGTGTTGGTGCCGAAGCCCGAGCGCTGCGTGGGATTCGAGTCGCTTGGTGGTGGTGACGGCGAGGTGATATTCCTGGGGCTGTGGCTGAGGCTGCGTGATAGTTCTCGAATAGCGCGTGCTTTCCCGTCACTTGTGGGAGGAGACGACTGCATGTCGAAATTGTGAGGCTGCGGCGGGCAGCTTGTGGAGGGTCGCGTCGCGTGGTAAACACGTGAATAGGGTATGAGAAAGATACTTCGTAAAGGCTACTGAAGTTATATCATTACCTCCAAGAATAATTCCAGCCCAAGTATGATGGGGTGTCTTGGGGCGCGTTGTAGTGGAAAGTGCGATGAGTGTTGAAGACGAAGCGGGTCAGCGTGTTTACTCCAAAACAAAGCTAACGAACCCTGGCCCCACCCAGCCACCGACGCCCGTCATAACGTGCGCGGCGCGTCGAACAACTCGAATTGAGAGGCACTGCGCCCAACTGCGACGTTCAGAAGTATTGTTATGATGATTTCGTTACTTTGTGTCAATGCTATAGAGGTATCATAAATCAGATCTGTCAGAACCATACTCCGTTCCCAAACATCCGTTACATGCCATCCCATGCAACACTCCGACCTGCGCAAAGTCGATTCCATCTCCACAGAACACCCACAACCATCATGTGTGCCAGCAGAAGTATTACTGAGCGTCCTAACCCACCCACGTCGACTGGTCTTCCCCTGATAGATATACTAGCGTGCAAGAAGTCGAGTGACGCTATGCACAACAACGGGTACAGGACGCGCGGATCCGCCGCAAAGGGCTGACAGGGAGAGAGCAAACTATACGCCTTTGCGCAAAACAGCATACTTTTCATAGTGGAGATAACAGCGGGGTTTCTTGACAGTCTGTACAACTTTGAAGATGCACTCGCAGGCGGTGGTGGAGGGAGCATGAGACGCTGCGGTGATGGCGTTCTCCCTCCGGAAGGCGGCGGCGGAAACTCTAGTTTCCTCCTTAGAATCACCGCCCCATCCTCAGAAGACTGCCTCCTCATCGGCTGCGGACGCGGCGGACTAGGCGATCGGTCCATGACAGTTGCGCTAAGATGCGATCGACCTGGCCGTGTGTAGTTGATCGAGGTACGCTTTTTGTTACCTTGGTTAGGTGACGGGCTAGGCGTATCGGCTCGCGATATGCGAGGACTGAACTCGTCTAGACCCGATGGGCCTGCATATGCGTTGTACTCGTCGAATACCAGTGGTGATTTCAGGACATTCAGGATTTCCTCTGCACCTGGGCGTTCATCGGGGTTGATGGCGAGGAGCGTCTTCAGCGATCTGTATAGCTTTTCAGGTAAGTCTGAGCGAACCCGCTGTTCGTCGTCGATACCAGCCCAAGTCGAGATCTCTGCCCTCAGCTGATCTAGGTCCTCGTTGTCCTCATCGATACCGTCCGCGTTTCGGTATGGCAGTCGTGCAAAACACATGAAGTAAACGATCATACCGAGCGAAAAGATGTCAGACTTGGTTGTGAAGTTGCCAAAAGCACCTCCAGGTCGCTCTTGACGAAGCACTTCGGGGGCGCAGTATGAGATGGTTCCAGTTGCTCCTGTCGAATTTCTCGCTGTATTCGCGGACTGCACTTCGCCGAAATCGCTGACTAGAACTTTGATCTTGCGGCCAGTACGATGGAGCAAGCAGTTGCTAGGCTTCAAGTCTCGATGTATGTAGCCGTTGGCATGAAGGTGACTTAAGCCGGACGTGATGTCCTTGAAGAAGGATATGATCTCTTCAAAGTGCATGCGACGCGGTCCATGCACGTCCTCTGGATCTTCCAGCTGGCCCTTGGACCTCCTCCTGAGTCGCTCCTTCATCTGCTCCTTTGTTACAGATGTCTTCATAGAGTCTAGAATATAGTCGTGGAGATCGCCAGCGTTGCAGTACTGTTGCAGTATGAACGCGCACGGTACACTTGGGCCAAAGCTGGATATCTGGTAGTCCTCCAGCCATACATGTCGGTATGAAACCAAATTCTCGTGCGACAGGGTCTGCAGTAGTTGCACTTCGATCAAGACCTTTTCCAGCCATTCGTGATCGTCGCCGACTGGCACGCGCTTGCATGCGAACTTGCCCAGGTGTACGCCGTCCAGGATATGCTGCACCAGCAAGACCACACCCTTGCCTCCTCTGCCCAGCTCGCGCTCTTCTATGAAGAAGTCCTTGAAGTAGTTGGGACTGAAGGCTCTGGCAGATATACCCTGGCTTCGAGCGGGCTGGATCGGTGTGCTTCCCACAAACTCAGAACCCTCAGGCGGCTCGAAGCTACCCATGCGCAAAGGGGCAGGCGCTAGTTGTTTATGTGGTGATGAGGGTCGCGATCCCTCTGTTGATCCTGGCTGACTCCGGCGCAGCATTTGGAAGTATGCGGGATTGACGAAGCCATTTTCGGTGGGTATGCCAGGCGCAGGATGTTCCTCCGCGTCGCTGTCGTGTTCGTCATGGGGTGATGGTTCGCGGTAGGATCGGTGACAGTACGGACATGACGTAGAGCCGATATCAGTCGCGTGGGAGGCATCGCGGAGGGAGAGTTGTTTTGAGCGCTGGTCGTACACGACAACAGCAGAACCATGACGCCTGTGATGTTCGTTAGCACCGTGTCATTGTTGTCGCATGGTATATCCTCATAGGAACCTACAGCACAATCTCCCGCGACTCAGCTGGGGCGTAGGGAATCAGCGACATGTTTTGGTGCGACTTGCGCCCGTCGGCCCTGTCGTAGGGGTGTCGGCTTGGGAAGGGCGCGCAACGTCTTTGACAGCGGTCTACAGCGTGTCGCCCACGTAAACAATCGAGCTGACGTAACTGCCTTCAATATAGAAAATGTGAATGTGATATGTGCGGTCGTACCACCTCGTGCGGTGCGGGGAAGCTACGAAGGCGCGGTATAGGCAGGGACCTTAGTCGATAGCCCACAGCGGATAGCAGAAGGGGTAGCGAACGGCCTCGCGACTGTCTTGTAGAAGTGGCATGACCGTGTTCCTCAGGTAGCGCTGACTGTTGTCATGGTGTCGTGTGTTGTTTGGACGGCGCGCAGGTTTTGGTGGGGAGAGTGGAACGGCAAGGGCGTCCCAGCTGGCAAGGGTCTGTCACCGTCTCATAGCAAGTGCATACCAACAATGACTGGCCAGACTCATCATTATTTTGAGGTGCTCTACCTAGGCAGTCTCCAGGCTATCAGTAAACCGGATCCATGCACGGTTTCATCCCCCTCCCACCTCATACAAGAAGAACCTGAACAGGTCTGCAGACTACATCAACCCAGAAACTTGCAAAGTGGGTGACCCAACGTCAACGTAGACTCCAGCGCGTTCAATTTTTCCTAGGTTGGCGTGCTCCTGTCTCCTACAAGTGGCTCTTCACCAACATGCCACCCTCCCAGACCTCGCCCTTCTCCAGCCTCTGCCAGCCGTCCACGGCACCGATCTCGACGCAGACCATGTTCTTGTAGCCGTCGTCGGGTGAGAAGTCACCCATGGCCTTGGCCTTCTCGATCCACGGGTTCCACGTCACAGTGTCCTTGACGTTGTCGCGGATGACGTCAAAGCGAGGCTTGCCGTCCTCAGTAATCGATGTGGTGTCTTGCTTGATGTCCTTGTAGACGCGATCTGTCTCGCCGGTGATCTTGAGCTGGTTGTCGCTCTGGGTGTGGGTAGAGGCGTTGAGGACCTTGTCGACGTACTCGGTGCCAGACAGGCCGGTGATGGCGATCTTGGACACGTCCTGAATCCTGAAGTAGGTGTGGAGCAAGAACTGGAACTCGAAGCTCTCCTCGCCCTCGTTGCGGACAGTGAGAACGGCCTGTAGGCTGTCCTTGCTCAGTGTGACGCTGTATACGAGGCCGAAGTCCAGCGGCCACGCCTTGCGCGACTCTTCGCTGAGCGACTGGCGGTCGAGGCCAAAGTCGAGCTTGACCGAGTTGGAGTCGAGAGCATCCTCCGCAGTCGACTTGCCCATGTACTCCCAGCGCGATCCACGCGCGAAACCGTGTTGTGGAAGCGACGAAGTGGCGTGTCCCTCTTTGGGGGGAGGACCGAAGACGGGGAATACGACGGGGATACCACCGCGTACAGGCTTCTTGCCAGTGAGATCGGCCGCGTCGCTCAACCAGAGGTTCTCAGTCTTTCCGCCGCTGCTCTTCCAGCTAGTAACAGTGGCTCCAAAGAGCAGCACCTCGACGCTCTCGCCAGACGGCAGTCTCGCGACGACTTTCTGGCTGCCACCCTCTCCGACGATGTCGACCTGGGGGCCGGGTGCCGACGCGGTGGGCGCGTTCAGCGCTGATGGGCGGTTCGCACGGTCGACCATGATGACGATGTGTTGTTGCTGTAGCTCGAGGTGATGGTGGGGTATCTATTGTATAACTCGAAGCGGCTTGTTTGCGGGTTTGATTGATTGCTCGAACTGCAATTGGGAATTAGATGGTGGAATGGCAGGAAATCAATTGGGGACAGCGCACACTAATGGCAGCAGGCGGTATGGAGCTACTTGGTCTAGAAGGGAGGTGCTCGCAACGAGAGCCCTGGGGTGAGGGGCAACAGCTCATTGCCCCACCAACACCTGCCAGCATCCACGCATCACCCACCACCACTGAAACACATAGCTTGTTTCATCTCGACTCTCTTACAGCCCGCTTAGCTGCTCCGTCTGAACATTATTGGGTCTTCGCCCTCTCGGTGCATATACTTCCATGCCGGCGATGCAGATCCAACAGAAAGGTGCATCTTCGCCTGCATGTCTGGCGAACAACGGCCCGCGGTGTCCGGTTTGCCGGTAAGAGCTGGTGAAGATTATAGCCTTGCTATTTCACCTGTGCATCTGAAAATAGCCTGAAGACATTTACGTTCTCACTTGGCGGCAAGAGATGACGGCTCAGTCCCAACCTGTGCCCAGTTTCAGGTGAACCTCGAGACCTCAATGTTCCGTTTAGGCTTATTACGGTGGGCCATGAGATGGATATACATACGATGCTACCCTTGGCTTATTGGCAGAGGCGTCAAACTGTATCGACGTTATGACAATTATGCGGGAATCTCCTGTCGTTCGTGTCGATATCGTCACAACAAGTCAGCGTATCCTTGATACGTCTGAACCCAATGTTCATTCGATTGACTTGATCAAATCAGAGGTAAAAAGCTACCTTCTGTTACCTATGGCCTGTAGAGGTTCAGGGTAGCTCAGCAGTCATCATTCACGGGACCACCATTAGTGATGTGCAGCCAAAAGAACGGGAGCTCCCCATCGTTTGATCTGCTGAACCCAGACTTTTTCTGTAATCACAAACACAGTCGTCAATGGGCTACCAGCTCTACAAGGTTGGTGTCGGCCCGAGTAGCGTGCCATGGCTGCTGGGCCTAATTGGTGCGCCCAGCGGCTTCCCCCACTTCAACACCACAGCTAAGCCACCGCTAACGACCCGTAGAGCCTAGACGAGCTGAAAACGCGTGGCTGACGGATCGCCCGCTGTTGTGCTATATGAGATGATGCCCCGCTTCCCTAGCTCAAAATGTCGCACATCTCTGATCCCCCCAGCATAGACCCGCCAAGGTTTAGACTGATCTAGTGCGAAGGATACATCTACAAGACTATTTGGAAGAGAAGAACAGGAGTTGGAAATGCCTTCCAAGGGTGTAAGATGTTTCACCTACATCGCGGTGGATGGAGTCGAGGTTGAGTACACGGTACCAAAGGGCAATGTCAAACGAGGCGATCAACACCAATTCCTCCACGATCATCTCGAAGTAGAATCATCCAATTTGCCCCATTTCAAGTTCACTGGAAACTTTGAATTCATCGTTCGCCAAGATGGCCGCGAGCTCACAAAACAATGGGTTGCAATCAACAGCATGACAGGCAAATTAGAAGACGGATCGATGATCAACATGGAACAGACACCCAGCATCTTCGCCAACGACCTCATCATCACATACGGATTCTACGACGCCGGTCCAGGTCTAGCCGAGCTACCAAAACAACACCAATGCTACGTGACCGTCACAAAGAACTACGAGAACTGGATGCGCGACACCATCCCCCAAGGCTCAGACAAATCCAACCGTCCCTTCCACAAAATGGTCCTCCCCTCCGCCCACGACATCGGCATGAACAACATGTCGAGTAGCCTCTCGCTCCTCAAAAACGCCGGCACAGGCATCATTAAAGAAGTCCTCGGCCGCAGCCTCCCCCACGCCCTCACCATCATAAACAAAGTGGGCGACGGCGCCATAAACCGCATCGCACCAGACATAATCCGCGCACTAGCCATAACGCAAAAAGACACCCTCGACACCATCCTCAAGATCGGGGCGAGGTACTTCGAGTTCCGCCCTGCGAAATGCCACCGCCAGATGCAGAAAGTCAGTCCCTTGGATGATACCTGGTATTTCCAACACGGCGCTATACCAGGGATGCCGTACCGCGTGCTACTCGACCACATCACGCGATTCCTCGTTGACCACAAAGACGAAATCATCGTTGTGCACAACCGATGGGATGGCGTGCCAGGCGACTGTCCCCGTCCCAACGACGACGAATTACGAGATGCGCTCAACGATATCCTGCGCGATAAAGATCTCAAAGCGGGGAACCAGGAGGATATGATGCACAAAACCATTCATGACCTCCGCGAGTCTAAAACCCGGCTCATCATCCTCAAAGACTGCGGCCAGGTCTCGAATTACGACGACGCTGCGAATGCTACTCTGACTGGTGATTCGATGGTCGAGAGACTTCACTCCATGTGTGAAGACCCACCTAGAGGCCACCCCATCACATTATTACAGTGTCAGGCCACAGCAACGAATATTAGGGATGTGATTATTGCTAGTGTGCTTGATTCGGATGTTAGTACGAGTCCGATTCTAGCGACGAAACCGGTGTGCGATCATAAGATTCTGCCGTTGCTGAAGGGGGAGGTGGGGAGGAAGTTGATTGGGGAGGAGGGGGTTGTTGTGATATTGAATGACTTTTTTGATGGGGCGACGGCGGATGTGGCGGTGGGGTTGTGTAGGGAGAGGTTGGGGTAGATGGATGAGGTAGTTTGGTAAGGAGTGGGAATTAATAGAGAAGGAAGCTCGGTATATTTATTACACTACAAGTATCAAGCTATGAGACCGGATCCATCCTAAACTTCACCGCTACACCACCCACCACCCCCTAAGCACCCCCATGTTCCCCCGGCGTAAAATCCGTCGTCCCCAAATCCCTACTCCCCTGCACAACAAACTCATGCCCCTTCGTCAACCCATCCAAAAACCCATCCCCCACATTCAAATGATCCCTAACAATCTGCCTCGGCGTAATCCCCAACCACTGATTAACGCTAACATCACTATACTGACTACTCTGCAACACCTCGAGATAAACCAGCGTCTCGTTCCCCGTATTCTCAAGGTAATGCGCATTAGGCACAGGCACGTACCCGACATCCCCAGCCGTAAAGTCGAATGTGCGGGATGCAGCGGGTGCTTCGTAGACGGTGAGGCGGGCGGAGCCGGCGATGAAGTAGGACCATTCGTCTGAGGTGGTGTGCCAGTGCATTTCGCGCATGGCGCCGGGTTCGACGGTGATGAGGGCGGCGGAGAAGGTGGATGCGATGGGGAAGGTGGAGGGGTCGAGGATCTTGATGGTGCCGCCGGGGACGCGGGCGGGGGCTTGTTGGCTCCAGTGGTAGGAGTATGCGCCTTCTTTTGGTATCACGCCCGCGGGGCCCGTTACATTTTGCTCTGAGATGTTCTTCGGCGCGGGGGTGCCGGGGAAGATCCAAAGTTGTTCTTGAGGCATGTTTTGCACTGTTTTGACGGAGGTGCGAAAGTTCTTGGCTATAACGGACTCTGGGTTCCGTAGCATGAGCTCGGAGAGGAGGAACGTGTTTTCTTCGCTGAAGGAGCCGTCGTTGAAGATGAGCAGGAATTCGCAGCCGTTTTCGAAGGCTTGGATGGAGTGCGGGATTCCTGGGGGGAAGAACCAGACGTCGCCTTCTTGGACGTCGTCGACGAAGGTTTGGCCCGCTTCGTTCATGGAGGCGATGCGGACGCTGCCGTTTAGCCTGGGGGTTGTTTGGTTAGCTTTGTTGGAGGAAGAAGGGGTGGGATGATGTACATGTATGCCCATTCTCCTTGCTTGTGCCAGTGGAGCTCGCGGTAGGCGTGGGGGCTTAGTCGCATATTTGTCCCCGCCATGGCGACGGAAGATGGTAGTTGATCGGTATTTTGCGATCGTGCCCACCCCGCGCCTGCAAGGCCGTGTCGGTTGTGACTGAGACCGAATGGCCATTTTGCGTTGCTTACTTCACCCATATCGGAGCCGGGTGGGGCATAGATGTCGCTATTGAGGCGATCATATGCTGGAGTACTTCAACGAGGTATCAGCCACAGCATAGTCTTTGAACATTTCCATGGACTTACCGTGGACCAGGTTCAGTTGGTCCTGTAGTACCTCCGCGGATCGGCTGTGGATTCTTCACATTCGTGAGATCGATGTACAACCCCAAATCCTCGTCTTCTGACTGCCCAGGTGCGAGCTCGAAGTCCTCAGGTGGGATAACTGTAGACTGCATGTCGACTGGATTCGAAGGGCTGTACCCTTGTAACTCGTCGGAGCCGCGCAACGAGCCCGATGCCGAAGAGGGTAGTGGCATGTTCAGGACTTGCGAGGGGTCGACAGGGCCTGGCACCGATGAGCCGCCAGAGACTCCTGACGCCTGAGGTACTGGAGCAGGTAGGCCATTGGTAAGACCAGCCAGGGAGTAGAGGAACGCGGCGGATGAGGAATAAAGCATTTTTGGAAAGGTGTTGCGCGTTGCAGTACCAACTCACCGTGCAATTGCGGAATAAATGGACGGCTTACTCTCCTTTTTATACAAAACTGGGCGAAAGTAAAATCGTATCACCCCAATGCCTTCACCACTAACTCCACCAGGCATACGTCACCTGAAGCGACATCATGACTATTGAGAATAGTAAGGTGACGGGTACGCAACCCTGGCATGCATACTGCGATGAACGGTAACGTGCATGAGATATTCGATCAAGCTTGCCCATTCTGGCTATATTGTCGTGTCTATAGCTGGGGTTGTGGCTTTTCCGGGGGATGTCCACCAACTGCCGGCGGCTTAGTGGTTCGAGGTTGACTGAAGATTGGTTGCGGAGCATGAGGCTGACCACGAGTTCACGACAGGGGTCTGATTTGCTCGGTTCTTGAATTATCCCCATCTTGTTGATCGTGACGACGGTGACCTCGCAATGCTCTCAGTCTTGCATCATTGTCTTTCTTCGGAGCCGGACTCGGTACCTACCTAGGCATTGTGGTTTCTGGGTTTGAAAAAGTCGAAGTAGATGCTTTCTTTGCTCTTCGAAGTTGAAACTTTGAGCAATGGTGACTTTGCAGCCACCGGCGAGCTTCTGAGCTGACTGCGTTAGCTTACTCACAGTTCATCCTCAGTAGTCTGATCTGCTATTCCCGAAGCGCTCTCATGCACACCGCGCGTTTTTGATGTAGTGTCGGAATGAGCCGGGATCAGAGTCCATCGCGGGAGGCAACAAAGACCTGTGATGAGACCTCAATGTTGACCAACAGTGTAGCTGAAAATGGAGGCAGGTGCGGCAGTAGGACTTGACTCTGCATTTCCCAACACAGGGCGGCTGCGCATATATGATCGACCCCATCACAGAGAAGGCGCGAAAGCAGACGAATGGTGAATAGATACCGACACTCACACCCGTACTGAGTGGAGATGAGATGGGGTGTCAAGCTTTGCGGAGAAGGCTTGATTTGTGGCTATGGGTAAGCAGCGGAATCACGCTACGTCATCATGTGGCTCAATTCGGCTAGCGCGACGCTCAGCTCTCCTCCCACCTGGGCAAACCTCAGTCGCGACAACTCTGTCTTCACTCCGGTCCGCATGCAAATGCACTCACAACACTTCCTCAGCGAATTTTACTTCCGTATTGCGTTGCCTAGCATGCCCGAGCCTTCGCGATCTCCAGCCAACGCGTCTCGTTCGCGTCGTCCATCACACTGTCATCCCTCCCATCCCTTCCATCTCACTAGACGCTCATATGTATAGTGGAATATGACACACGTTTTGCGATGCTGAATCTTGCCCGAAGCAGAGCTTAGCCCGCCTCCGAACATCCAGCTTTGAGTCCTGCCCCTCACGAGCTCAGCGCCGACAGCGCGAACATACCAACTCTCCCACCCTTCGTCCAGGCCTCCCACAATCTTCGTCAAATACACATTGTACATCGAAAGTGCCGTGACTTAGGTCGACGCGAGTGTGGGCCAGTGTTAGCAGATACTTTTTATCTTCTTCGAGGGCGATGCATGGGATCAGCCTTGCTGACGGGCAGATGAAGTGAATTCATCAACCGGTTCTCGGCATCATTCCTCGGTCGGGTCAGAGCTATACCATCGGGAACAGTGACCTGCTGTTCGCGACGTTGATCACGGCTCATCTCGGGGTTCGATGAGCGTACCCAGACCCGTCCCGGGATAGGGACAGGACCGGGTGCATTGTGTTGTATCAAGTTACAGGGAATGCCTGAGTCTTGATCACGAATTTCATCCTCAACTGCCGAATAGTCGGCGAGAATGCCAGGCGGAATTTGGATGCTGGATTTAACAGCACCTCCGAAGGCCTTTTTCTCCAGGAACGCCCTGAGAAATTTTGAAGAAGGTGCACTGCGATTCTTCTTCTTTTCCAGGAAAGCCTTGAGGAACTTCGGAGAAGGCGCATTAGCTACCGCATCAGCCGGACCGGTTTCCTCATCATCGCGAACTGTCAGGAGATGCTCCATGAGTCCGCCTGACGTGCGAGCTGTAGCTTTCAACACTGAAGCGCTGCGGTTGACAACTGGAAGAGCCGCAGGAATCTTGCCGGGTGCACAATTAAATCCAGCAGTTAGGCCAACGGGACCAGTGATGCTATCTAACTGAACACCCGAATCGCTGCGTTTCCGCTCTAGCGCAGCCATAGTAGGAACACGGCGCCCCGCCAGTAGCGGGCGCGCAAACTGTTCTGGCTCTTTGTGTGCTTCGCAGCCTGGTTCGCGGCTGTCCTGGTATTCCACGAGCGCATCGTAGGCCTCGCGACATTCTTCGTCGAAGTCGTCGTGTGGGATGGTGTTGGTAACCGAGAGGCGCCACGGCCGAATCCAGCATCCAGACTTTGCCGTCCAACCCACCGGGCTGTCGTGAAGCTCGTCGTAGAATTGATATCCATCAGGAACCTTCCCGGGTTTAGCGCGCGATGCTGGGTATTCCGGCGAATTTTTGTTCAGAATGGCATCGTCTTCCTCGGTCAGGAAGTATGCAGCTCGATTTGGGCGTCGCCGTGAGCGAACGTGCTCCATGTGATACCGGACAATGGCTTCAGTGCCGCGGATACCCATCTTCTGCTCCCACCAAATCTTCTTTGCCTTCCGGTACTCTGGGTTATCGCCAAAGTCGTCTTCGGGATTAAGCAGCCCCTGTTCGCGTAGTGCCTCGGTGTCGCACTCCTCTTGATCGTACAAGTCATTCCAGAGACCGACAATCATGTTTTCTTCGAGACCTTTCCGATCTCCAAGGATACTGCCGGCCGCATACTCGTGTGAATCGTTTGCGACTAGATGATCATAGCGTTCCGGTTGAGCGCGTAGCTTCTCCAATCTATCCAGGATACCTTGGACGAATCCATCGTTTTCGCCTGGGAAAGCGTGAAGGTGATCCCACTTTGCTTTTGGTACATCGTCTAGTCGTAGTCCTCCTTCAAAACAAGGCCGATCGCTTTCAGGGATTGGCGTAGCCTGTTGGATCTGCTCATCGTCTTCCTGGTACTCGGCGAGCGCGCGAGCTGCTTCGATACCCTTTTGGCAGGAGGAATATACCATTGGGTCGCCCGGCATATCGTTGCGCACTTTCATCGTCTCGTAGACGATTTTGCGCTGATTACCGGAACGAACTAGTCCGACAACTACACGTTCTTCTCCAAGAGGCAACGGAATCTCGTCAAAGTCTTCGTTCCACACAGCTGGGAACTGACGAGGATACTCGAAACAACCAATGTTCAGGCGAGGCTCTTCCTCATCCACAACAGGTTCGAATTTCCTTGCGAGAAGATGCAAGTGTGGCTTGTAGTTGGACACATCGCAAGCAAGGTCCATGAAGTGCTGTTGAACCTCGTCGCTGACCTTGTGACCCTGGAAAGCTGGCCGGCCTGTATATTGTTTTGCATAATCATGGAACTTTGCCATGATAATCTTGCTGCCATCTGGCATCTCGGTGCGGAAGTAAGTGTGGGTGTATGGCCAAGCACTCAGTTCTTCGCATCCAACGCCCATCCCTTCGAGAATCCCGTGGGTATACTCGTAGTCTTTGTACTCACCCTCATAGTCGAAATCGGAGTTCAGAGAGGACGAAGCCATGTCGTTCAACAAGCCAAAGCCACCGTCATCTGCTTTTGGATGAGTGACCAAATCTTCGACTCCGCGGAACTTTGGGCCGAGCGACTTGATATAAGCAAGATGATCACAGTCTTCGTCATCAATCATGTTGACATGGAGCTTTGAAGTCGCTGAGTTATGCGGTACGCTTCCGATGTTTGCAGATGTTGAGAGCGTATCCTCGAAAGATGATGGTGCTGTGACCACTATGGTGGGCGGACAGAGCTTGTTGGGTGACTGCATAGTATGACTGCGGTGATTTAGCATTTGATCTGCATTGAACGCGTCAGATGAAACTGACCCCGGAATGCTTGACAGCCTGGCGATCTGCACAATGGGGGCGTCCTTTGTCGTAGTCGGTGTGAAGGTAGACAGGCCGCTGGAGCTCTCGTGGATGCGCTTCGTCTGGACCAGCGCTTGCGGCAATGTTATCAGAGGGTGACTGGGACTGGTGCTGGTGGAGTGGATAGCCACCTGCACGGCTAAGGCCGACTTGGTGTGAGCTTGGTAAGTCTCAGGCGAGTATAGTTCAATGCTCTAGATTGATATGGGTTGAAGTTTTTGGTGTGATGTAATGGAGGTATAGTAAACTCTGCAGCGCGAGCGTGGACATATATACCGAGCAGGAGTTCAGTTGCAAAGGCGCAGCCAAGAGCCAACCTGAGTCTAGCTTGGGAAGCAGCACAGACTACGGTGAATGAACAACTCGGGGCATTCAAATGGGCAGTGCTGCCTCGCGAGAACCCGACATTATCGTCCAGTGAAAGTAATCGACCGCACAGCCTAAGCATAGTTGCGAAGTGAAGCGGACTGTTCACAGCGATGGGGCATTATTTAGTATATAAGTGGATTAAAGCTGATAAGACTGATGGTTGGCGAGTTGGATATACGCGTTTATATGGCTAACATACAAGTCGGATGTGCATTACATGGCTAACATGGACAAACAAGGATGGTGTTCATGGAACAGCAAACCGGGTATCAAACACTGAACAAATTAAAAGAAATGAGTACATTCGAGACCATCCACGATCTCGATCAAAACAGTGTATAAAGGAAGGACATCGGTGATAATAGTACAAACTCGTTCCCAAGAGGGGCAAGTTCAAAGATTCATTCCCAGTTTACGCGCTGCATCGCAGCCTCGAAATCTGAGTTAACGGGGAAGTCGCGATACTGTTGTCGAACTGCAGGTCTGAGGTCAGCCGGAGACATAACAAGAGGACCAAGAAAGGACATACCGGGTGGGTGAATAGTGCCGTGCGCAGTACCAGCGATCAAGGCTTTTGCCCGCCTAGACTGCACATTCTGTGCTAAGTCGTGGCCCTGGCGTTGCTCTTGAGCAAAGTCTACCGTCGGATGACATGCGGCATCGAGCTGTGCCCACATGCCGTGCGGCGCAGCCAGAGCATAGCAATGCTCTAGACACTCCTGGCATCGAGTAACAATGTGGCCATGCGGAAAGCACTGTGTACAGCTGATCTGACTCGCGTTCATCATCCTGCTCGCCATCGTCTGAGGCGTAAACTCAAACTGATGCAAGCGACCGTGCTCACACCGGGGAGCGAGCAGACGATAAGGAATCTCCGAGAAACCGATGGTAGTCTGGAAACCAGAAGGGTAAGACGAGGATGTAATTCCTGGAGCAGGAAGTAAACCACCACGATCGCTGATGCGCTCGTTGATGTCCTCGGCTGATGTGTCGACTAGAACAAAGATGTTCTTGGTGGTCGTCTTATGCAGCTCACAGTTCTGTACGATCTCCTGGGAACGAGGCGGTGTCGCATGCTCGGGATAATCCGGGAACTGAACCAGGTCGGCCATGGCGTCATGGAGCTCGCTACCGTCGAGGACTTCGATCGGAAAGAACGATTCGAAGCCTTTCATCTCCTTGTAGTTGTGCTCCTGTTCTTTGCGGTAGCTACCGAGCGTTGACATCGCGACCTGTCCGCATGGACACTCGTGGAAAGCATTTGGATCAAGTATGTCGCCTTGGTCAATGTCTTCCATCCAGTCGGGAATTCGCTCGTAGCTTTCGAGCAAGGCGTGCTCTGGCTTGCCCTTCGTGACTTCACGAATGAATGAGGGTTTGAAGTCGATGCTCCAGTTACGGATGTTGTAGTCCGAGATACCTTCATTGATCACCATCTCTTCATATTCTGTGAGATATGGTCGGCAAGGGTGATCTAGTCCCACATAATGCCGTACATCAAAGTGACATGCAGGGGTGAATTTCCTCCGGTTCCCCTCGATGATGGCTTTGATATCCTGCAACGTCTTGATGGGCGCACCAGGCGCGACGATATTGCCGGGACAGATGAGAAGCCATTGCATCTCGAGCTCCTGGAGGAGGGCATTCTCGCCATTCTGTGATCGCGTCTTGATGAGTGTTTCCAAAGACTGGGCTCCAATCGCTGCTTTCAGGTCTTCCGGAAGACGTGGTGCCAAAGCGTTTAGAAGGAAGCGGATGTCCAGCGCATCTGCTTTGGTCGGTCGTCCATACCATCCATCCACATCCTCGTATGTCTGACCATTACCACTAACGAAGATAGGCTCGAGATGATTGGCCATGCGTTGGTTGTAAAGTCGACCACCCGGGGCCCACTGATCAGTGTCATTGAAGACATGGTTGCCATGCTGACGCTGAAGTGCTGCTATCTGGTCACTGCTGGAGCAAGCAGCTTCGACAGCGTCTTCGTCTCCGACGATTTCGCACTGGGGTTCGGTAGTGTGGGATATTTCCGGGGGACCTTGAGCACTTGGTGCGATGGCGGTAACAAGAAGTAGATTCTCTTCGTTCCCAAGAGACGACATCCACTGGTCGCTGCCTGCAGACATATCCCGAAAGCTGGCTAACCACTGTGGCACTTTCGACTCTTCATGAGCGGTCTGTCGGTCGAGCATCATTGCCTCAATTAAGGGCACGATGTCTCCAGTCGTACAAACACCGCAAGACGTGTCGTCGTCTACAATCGGCGACTGCTGAGCTGACTGCTGTTGCTGCTCAAGTATCTTGAACCCACCGAACACCGACCATACCAGGCCAGCAAAGGGAACAAGAGTGAAGATGCTTTCAGCGGCAGATCGTACTATCCATAGTAGAAAGAACGCGCAGATCATGCAGACAGCGAACTTCTCAACGAGCGATGTTTGGCCTGTAGCGTTGACGATGGTCGAGCATCCATCGATCTTGGCCCGCTGCTGCAGCCCCCGAGGGCCCTTGGTGGTGGAGCGTTCGGTATCAAACTCCAACCCAGATGACTCAGGCTGTAACGTATGGTGGCTACGAGACTGGAAGTCGTTGAGAGCTCGCACTATAGACCCATCTGAAGCAGGGAATGAGCGGCGCGACATACTCGGCGCGCGAGTGCTTGGGGCGGCGGATGTGTACGTAGTTGCGGACCAGTACGACATGGACGTTTGGATAGCCTGGCCTGCGTATCGTGCACGCTCACTGGGAAGAGTCAGGGGATATAACATATAGTCGGAGAAGCAATCACTAACCTTGGATGAGCGGATGATGCGCGATCATCGCTTGTGACCGCAGCAGCGGGCGCCATAGCTACTGTTGGTACCTTTTCGGTGTGCAGACAGGTTCCGTATACCATACAGACACCCTGTATGTCGATAGTGGAGATGGAACCGGTGCGCTTGTTAGCCGTGCAAAGCTGCAGTTACTGGTAGAGTATATGCGAGCTTGCGAGAAGTGGTGGTAGCCCAGCGCTCAGAGGCTGAAAGTACCCCTGGGTTAAGTAGAGGGTAGTGTCAGCTGTAGCACTGACTACACTAGCTCCACACTAGTCGTACCTGCGAGTGAATGCACGTGAATGGGCTTGTGCGGCCATCGCGTATGGGCTTGGCGAAGTTCCTCACGCTTGCGATGCCTCCTCTCAATGACGCAAGGTATATATCGCGAAGATTCTGGAAAGCTGCACTGTAAACAGTATAGGTAGATGCTGACCCCAGAGTGGTCCTGCGCAGCGATAGATGTACATCAACGCGCTCAGCGAGGTGCTTGATGCTTGTACGACTTACAATCAACGACATTCGCCAAACACCTAGCATCTGGGCGAAATGGAAATCAGCGCAAGAGCACAAAAGCTTCCATTAGATCAGTATGATTCTCTTCCCGAAAGCACTGGCTTGGTTCGAACGGTTGGCCATCCAGGAAGATGGGATTGAATGAGCACAAGGCGTCGTGGGAAGAACGGCCTGCACAGGGGATGGGTCATGGCTCTCACAAAGATGGCGTGAACCGAAACCTGTGGTCATGAATGGAAGTAGAAAGAAACGGGATAGTTGAGCTGGACAGCATCTTTCTGGCCAGGACTGAAGTTCCGGGACGTAGCAATTGAAGGGTAAGAAGGTGACGCTCGCGCACAATCGTGAGAATGAAGGGATAATTACAAAGATGTAAGAATGAGGGCATTACAAGAGTCGAATTACTCTCTATTAATAGTAGGTAGGTCATGGGGTATCGTAACAAAGTGATGTTAAAGTGTGTGGCCTGAACAAAAGAAAAGTCTCGGATCTACCTCGACACACGCGGATTTTCGTCTACCAGCATCTCGGTGCTGTTTTCCCTTTGGGTTTCCTTGCGGGATATATCGTCCGCCCAGGTGGCCTGAGAAGCGGGCGTTCTCCAGCCGCTCAGCCTCCTCCCATCGGCACCATCCACTTCTACGTGGATGTCTGTAACGACTTGGATGTCTCTAGCATCCTCGCTCGAGCCATTCGAGCGCTTCGTTACGTCTAGGACGTAGTCGTCTTTGGTGCGCAGCGCCTTGCTGCCACCCCTGCTTCCGTAGGTACGAGCGCCTTGTGGGCGAGAGTGGGAATATGCGCTGCGGTGTCTTGACGGGAACGCCCTTGGAAGCCAATGTGTGATCAAAGGCCTGAGCAACGGCAGACAGGCGCAAATAATGCCGACGTTGGTCTCAACGGAGCTCCATGTCGCCGCAGGCGGGTTGTCGTAACTAGGATCAGCCGAGTTCGAGATCGCGACGAGAGATTGTAGACGGAGAATTGAGACTAGGCAGACACTGCAGGATCGCGCGTTAGTGTGACTTCTTTGTAACAGTTGATGGTAGGGGTATGCCCGCTGAGTAACTCATCACGAGAAGAGCCGGTGGTACAGTGATGCACCGTGCGATAATCGAGTGAGCTTCGTGTTACACCTTGTAACAGACATCAGGCGCTGACGGAACGGCCCGAATAGACAAAACAAGGGAATACCAGGGAGGGATACTCACAATCCACCAACAGCGAAGATGGAGATGAGTCCAATCTTCTGCCTCTTGCCGAGGTTTAACTTCTGAATGACCGGAATAGGAAGAAGGATAATCGCGAAATCGGTAAGGATGTTGATGGCGGCATTCGTGAACCAGACGGCGAATTGGTTAAGACAAGTAGACTTCTCGTGAGTCCAGAAAGCTCGTACGGGTGTGCAGGTGAAGATACTGGAGAAGACTGTCCAGATGGTGTAGGCGACGACAACGGCCATGGTGAGCCAGTTCGCGATCTGGAACTTCTTGGTCGGGAAGATGCGTCGATATTGGAGGAGCATTGATCCTTTGGTCAAACCGAGCGACAGGTAGTATACGATGAGACTGGACCAGAATGTCTGTCGCTTTATGTCAGCAGTGCCATAAAGTACACGTTGAGAGTGTCGCACCCTCAAGAACTTGACCATGTGGTCGTCTGGGATTGTTTTGA